CTGAAAACACTCCATCACTCCTCAGCACAGCAGCTGGGCCAGTGTGTGTGTGAGAGAGAGGAGAGATCTGTAATCTGAATAGTGTGTGTTGCATATGGAGAGATACAGTGTAAGTGTATGTATAATTGTTTGATGGCGTCTCTCTATAGGAGGTGGAGGTGGTGAAGACCCCCTTGAGTGGGCCTCTGCACACCTCTCTGAACGGCACTGCTCAGACCCTGCTGCCCACCTACAGTGCCCTACCCATCATGCCTGGCTTCATCACACCGACACACACGCACACACACACGCCCAGTCCTGCCGCACACACACCCGCCGCAGCCACGGCCACCGACTGGAACAACTACTATTATGTGAGTGTGTGTCTTTCTATATAAAGTGTGTGTATTATTGTGTGTGAGAGAAAGAGAAGTGAAACAACCCACATTGCATGTGAAATATTAGACACCTGAAAGATAACGTGTGTTTAAATTCCAGGAAAAAAAATGGAAGGTTTAGGCATGATCACATTAGTGAAATTTTGTGGGCAAGGAAAGTCCCTTGTCCATTATCTATAGTGTAGCGATGCAGAAAACATGCACGATGCTTACTATGACGTCACTTCCAAACTAAGCAGCTTATAAATGCTGCAAACAAGTTTGTTCAAAGCTTAACCAGAATCTGATGAGAAATCCACATGAACCACGAAAATTTTGCCATACAAAGTATCACACCCTTCTTGTTGAAATTAAAAATATATACATATTTTGTCCAAATTCAGGCCAAAGCACCCAGGCCGTAAATGCTATGAACTGTGGGGTCTACAATAAGGATCCCTTTAGCTGTGGTCAATAAATATGGGTTTTAAAATGGCCAATTAAACATGCAAGTGAGGCAGAAATGGGCTTCCATACTAGAGTAAAAAATATAATATGGTAATTTATATTTTCAAATTGTGACTTATGAATCTGACTTTATATTTGACAATTGTGACTTTATATCTTACAATGTGACTCAATCTCACAATTGCAACTGTCACATAATTTGGACTTCATAACTCACAATGTGACTATATTCCCAATTGTAACTATATTTCACAATATAACTTAAAATTTTCACATTAGCTGGGTTTCCATCCAAAGTTGCCCATTTAACTTGTGCGCAAAATTTGAAAATTGCAATTTGCGAATAAGCACCATTTACATCCAACAAATCTAAAGAGAATAAAATCATCACTTCCTGATAAACTGCCACTAAATATCACTAAGAAAAGTAGAAGCCACTGAATATAATACTTTTCATATATAATAAATTCCTTGCACCACAGAGCAAGCAGACGAAACACAATAAATGCGGTCATTGCTTTCGGAGGTGGATGTCTGCTGTTTGGGGACGCAGTCGTGTAAGACAGTAATTATACAGAAATACTTTGATGACAGACTTTGCTCAGGCATTTCAGAATGACCAAAACAACATTTCAGATGCTATGCAATGAGATCGGTTAGCAGGTTAGTCCGGTTATGCCGTCCCAGAGCGCAGTCACATGACTTTTTTTTATGCGCATGGAGGAATTTATTCGCAAAATGCGCTTCCATTACTGCGCAGTAACCATTTTCTGCACAAGTCAAAGACCACCTCAAGCGAGCGTAAAAACTTTTGCGAATTAATTTGGCCTTTCCATCACTCGTTTCTGATGCGATACAAACAGGGCGATGGAAACATAGCTATTGTGACTTTAAATCTCACAATGTGACTATGTACGACACTGCTACTGTTTCTTGTAACTTTATAATTCATAATTTTATTCGTGATTTTATTTCTTATTTTAAACTTTAGCTTGCAAATACCGCAAATAGCGTTTTTACTCCGAGACAAAAATGGGTTTTCATAGATCACAGCCTCACAAAGTGCCAATAGTTATTTATCATTGCTAACCATAAAGCATAAAAGTTTTGAAATGATAAATAAAAACATTGATAACCTATGAGTGCAAAATATCTAGTAATGGCCTTAAATATTAAATATCATTGCAACACCACATTATTATTTTGCATTGTTGTGTTTGGTGCCAAAAACAATTGTTAGGCAAGTTTAACAAGGCCAATAAAAGTGTACACAATTAAATATCAAGCACCATTTCAGTCAAAAATGGTGCAAACATGATATTTTACATTCATAAAGGCAAAATTTATATAGATTTTTTTATAAACCCGGTTGAAAAAAATCTCAGTAACAGTACTAATAGAAATATATTAGAAAAATAGAACAATATATGGAATAATATTTAGAATGATAGGTAGGTCAACTGAATGCATATGGTGTGTGTGTGATGTGTGTACCTGTTTTTCTATTCTGGTGGGGACTTAAACCTGAATACACACAGACTCATGGGGACTCGTGTCATGGTGGGGACCTAAATTGAGGTCCCCACGGGTAAACAAGGTAATAAATCACACAGAATTAAGTTTTTTGAAAATCTAAAAATGCAGAAAGTTTCCTGTAAGGGGTAGGTTTAGGTGTAAGGTTGGTGTAGGGCAATAGAATATACGGTCTGTACAGTAGAAAAACCATTACGCCTATGGAGAGTCCCCACAAGGATAGCAAACCAGACGTGTGTGTGTTTCTGCTCTGCTTGATGGTGAAGAAACCAGTAGGATTCTGGCACAAACTTTATTCTTCAGTTGGAAGTAGAAGAGTGACACATTGAGAGACAAAACACCTCTAACTACGCTTCACTGATTCAACAATGGGCACTTTATCGTAGTGCAAGAGTCATAAAATTCCTCAGACGTGTGTGTGGGCTGAGGGAGACGGCGTCAGTCATTTACTGTATGGAACACAAAAAACCCGTATGCCACTCAAACTCAAGCATACAATGAACAATGAGTCACGTACATCATCACCACCATCAAACAGGTGAAATCACTGTAATCACTTCAGTTATAATCAACCTCTCTTTCTTCCCTAGAGTCAGGCTAGAGGGCAGAAGCGAGAATACCCCACACTGCCCACACAGGAAGTGACATCAGAGGGGCTGTATGTAGGCCAGCACTCACAGGGTCTTGGGGGCCAGTACGCCGACTACTTCAAGAAGAAGAGGATCTAACTCGCACTCGCTCTCACTACTCGCTGTATGTTGCCGTTGTCATGTCCAGGCCCTAACTTTTAGTCGATAACTGATATTTATGAAAAGATTATACATTTTATTGTGCGTTCCTCTTCTGTGGATGTGGGTACTGTTGTTATTTCTGTCCGACGCCAGGCAGGACCTCTTAAGATTGCTCTGACTCTGTCCCAAATGATCTGTTAAGATAATTGATATTTCTCTTTTTCTGTTCTGCCCTTTTACCTCTCTCCTAGGCGGGACGTTCCATTCCACTCCAGAGGGGGCGCGGGGGCGGGGGGTTCCGTGTCCGTGTTTTACTGTACAAACGGTTAAGGGCTGATAAAGATTGAGCTACACTCAGAGAATAACAATTTTCAAAGATGTTTTTTTTCCTGACAGGGTAGGGCATAGCCAATGTTTATTGTATATTCTGCGAAATGAGTGTATTTTTTACCGTGTACAGACATTGAGAATATTATTAATATTACCGTCTTGCTTAATGTGTCACTGTTTATCTTGACTATCGATTCGCTTTCCAAAGTGTACGGGAACCGCGTGTTTGAGGATTAATCTTTAACGTGTGTCTCTGTACATACTGCTGTATCTGTAGGAACGATCAGCCATTCTGAAAACTGCAGGAGCCTTAAAACACGGCGCTCAGAGAAGACATGGCTAAGGCAATAACCTCTACCTTCTCTGGAGAAACTACCACCACATACGCCAAGGTGACTTTTCCCCCAGGGTGACCTCCACACAACATTCAGCTACAATGCTGTCAGTGGTTGCTTTTTAATAACAGTATGAGTAATAATAATACATTAGTATAGTAGTAGTAATAATCTGCTGGAAGGATGTCAGGGGTTAGGGTGGTTATGTATCGGATAAAACAGCTCACATGCAAACACCCACATGGTAATAATCTAACATAATGCCTATATATGGATATTAGTGGTCTGTTATTCTGTGGTTTAATCTCCTTACTTTAAAGGAGAGAGTCTGTATTTTGGTGATTTTACTGTCTTAATTTAGATACTTAAAACAAGTGACATAAATCTCCCAATGGGACAAATAAAGTCTTAGAGATAGTTCACCAAAATTTTTAATTCTGTTTTTATTTACTCATCCTCGTGTTGTTCCAAACCATTGGAACCCAACAGAAGGTGTGTGTGTGTGTGTGTGTTTGCATGTATATATATATATATATATATACACAAACACACACACACCTTGATATACCATTACATTGTAGTATTTATTAATATTTTGAATTAACTTTTATTTTTATATTTACGGTTTTACATTTTAAGCTTTAGTCATTTTACTAAGCTTTTGTCATTTTTATTATTTTTATGTATATACATATAATCGAAAAAATGGAAATAAAGTAAAACTGAAAAATAAAGCTATATATATATATATATATATATAGCTTTATTTTTCTGTTTATTTTTGCAATTCTAGTACTTCAAGTTTAACTTTTTCCTCTAATACTTGTATTTTATTTCAGCTTTATTTTAATGAAACCGTTAATAGTTGTAAGTTTGAGTTACCGATAACAACACTGCTCTTTACAAAGTCAGTGGGGTCTAATTTTGTTTTGGACCCCATTGACTTTTATTGTATATTAAAAAAAAACAGTTAATTCTTTAAAATGTCATAATTAGGTTTGTAACAAAGGGATGAGTAAATGATTAAAAATGATTTTTCATTTTCGGATGAACTATCCCTTTTACTTTGCACTGAGCTTGTTTTAAGCATGTTTAGATTTTATTAGTGGTAAAGAAGACAGGTAGTCATTAAGAATTGGATTTTTTGCAGTACACTGTGTTGGTTGCAGTCTGCCAGCAGATTGTCATAAAAGGAGCCATTGTTTGGCTTTGCTACCACATAGCACATATAGGCGTTTGCCTGGCACGTTCATCCGTTTATGATTAAGGCTGTGTGCCTTCTTTTTTTCTACTCTTTTGAAGTGATTGTCTCTTGGTTCTCTCTCTGAAAGCCATTCTCTCACCTCCACAACACATTTGAGGAGGAACCTCTGTTGTTGCGTACTGTTTATGTTGCCTTTTTATTTTATGACAAGTATAAAGACAATCCCAAATTTACATCATTACCTGAGGCTCTGCGTCCCACTTTCAGCACAAAATCACCATTTATAAACAGAGGCCTTTTTTTTCCCAGGAAACACTATTTATGTCAAAACAGAAAAGGTTAATGTGAGAGTTTTTAGTTTTCCCGTTGTTCTGTGTGCTCAAGTTCAGTTCAGACTTGTGCTGGTTGTTTCTAGATAATCAGAAATGGGATTTGTTGCAAAATGACACTCTACAGGGATTATAAAGCACATGTACTTCTGGTCACTTTCCCATGGGTCTCCTCTCTCCTGTTCTCCAACCGTACCACTGCTCCAAATCAAGATGACTCGCACTTTTTTACCTTGAAAAGAGAGGTTTGAGTTCCCGTTGTTCTGTGTGCTCAAGTTCAGTTCAGACTTGTGCTGGTTGTTTCTAGATAATCAGAAATGGGATTTGTTGCAAAATGACACTCTACAGGGATTATAAAGCACATGTACTTCTGGTCACTTTCCCATGAGTCTCCTCTCTCCTGTTCTCCAACCGTACGTACCACTGCTCCAAATCAAGATGACTCGCACTCTTTTACCTTGAAAAGAGAGGTTTGAGTTCCTAAATAAAGTAAATCATCTCTTTAAAAAAAAAAGTGTTTTTGTTTCTGTAGAAAGGTGAAGGATGGAAAACTGTGCCTATTTTGCATTTATGAACCTTGTATTTCTTACCATTTTTGCTGATGGTCAACAACAAACTGATGTTCCCCTTGTATTTCAAGTCAAGACTGTAATGTATCTTTCCAATTCTGCACTTTTACCCCTCTGAATGTCATGAACGTGTACGTGTGCGCTTGTGTCTCAAAAGCTTTGCAATACTAAAGTGTCTCTTATTGATGTAGAAGGTACAGTCGCCTGTTCAAACACGCAGGGTTTTCAACACTATTGTGCTTTGGACACATATTGCAGCCCGTTTTTAGTTTGAAAGGTCGTAGTTTCTTCTTTTTTTTTTCACCTTGAATTAATATTTTGCAATATTTTATAATCCATTACCCCTCTGAATGTCATGAACGTGTACGTGTGCGCTTGTGTCTCAAAAGCTTTGCAATACTAAAGTGTCTCTTATTGATGTAGAAGGTACAGTCGCCTGTTCAAACACGCAGGGTTTTCAACACTATCGTGCTTTGGACACATATTGCAGCCCGTTTTTAGTTTGAAAGGTCGTAGTTTCTTCTGTTTTTTTCACCTTGAATTAAGATTTTGCAATATTTTATAATCCAAACTCTACTATTGTGCTTTGGACACATATTGCAGCCCGTTTTTAGTTTGAAAGGTCGTAGTTTCTTCTTTTTTTTTTCACCTTGAATTAATATTTTGCAATATTTTATAATCCAAACTCTATTGATATTGCTTTACTGTGAATAAGCTATTTTTAGAAACAGTGGAATTTAAGCATGCGTATACTCCTGCAATACAAGAAAAACAACTTTTCCCCTTTTTTCAGTAGATGTTTTCAATGCTTTTGAGTATTTAACAGCAAAAAAAATATTGTATTTATTTTATGTGAATTTATGTACATTTTACCCTGTTGGATACAATTTTGCTGTCATTCTTTTTGAGGAAAATAGGTTTGGGTTTAATTTTGAGTAGATTAAATTGTTTTGCATTCCACATTAAAGGACAGGAAAATGACGTCTCATTGCTTTTTTTTTTCCTCTGACCATTCTCAACTCCATTGTGGCCACCGTGGAGGCGTAGATATGAACGCAGCAACGTGCATTCCACAATACCTTCAGTGCAAAACCACATGACACTTCCACCTGGGAGATGAATCATTTTCCCTTTTCAGGAACCATGTGTGAGGATTAACCATAATCAGATGGGAATTAGTGCGCCTTTGAATATTTAGTCTTCTTTTAGCTATATGAATAACAGCTAAGGCTTTTAAGACGCTAAACCAATTTCTACGTTCAAACCCTGATCCTTTTCTTTACTGTCAGTATCCATCTTTTAGACAATGACAAAATATCTCCGATTGAAACGTGTTGCGTTTTTGTTAATCACTTTTTAATTCCATTTTGATTAAAAAAAAAAAAAAAAAGGAACAT